AAAATGTTACTCAGTAAGAAGGGAAGTGGGAGGTGGACATTTTCAATTCCCTTAAAAATACTTACCCCCCTCCCCCTGCGATGATTCTGTTGCATGTACTGCCAGAATAAACATTAAGTACATATAGTTCAATTATATAACATTTTAAACAAAACACTATTACTGTTGCAAATTGATCATTGTACCTTTTCGACCAATTCCTAGAACACATTTAGTTTAGATTTGAAATTTTGAATTTCTGATTTTAAAAAAATCAGTTGAAAATATAGTTATTTCCTTTTTGTGAATAAATAGTGTAAAAAATATAAAAGATCAAAACAGGAACCGTGATGAAAGGAGCCTGAGAAAATCTGTTAGGGTGTTGATATGTGTTGGCAGTGAATAGCTTCTAAATACTTAGAGGCGGCCAGACATTTAATACCTTCTCCTAAGGTTTGGGTTACCAAGTTTGTCTGCAAATTTCCAATAAGCCAGCTGGTGGTAGCAAATGCCTACATGTTTTTTGCCATTTTTTTAACCAAATGTGTTACATCAACCTTGCATAACATCTTACTTTATCAAGAGTTTTGTTGATACAGATAACTTGAATTAATTCCAACTCAGGGAGGATACATTTTTTGAAAATTGTATTTGATATCTAAGTGGTCACATATTTATATACTGTAAAAGAGCTAAGTTTTGTGGGATATATATTTTGGAGTTATTTTATCGTGATGTTTTATCACAGAATGAAAACAATTCCTGAGCTGTAAGCATTGATAAAGTAATGAAAACATACAGTTGATATACATATGAAACATAAAATGAAATAATGTGCTTCCACTCGGGATCGAACCAGTGACCCTTAGTTTCACAGTCCGCCGCTCTGTCGATTGAGCTAAAAGGAAATTCCCTCTTGCGCGAAGCTGGAAGGCAACCATGTATGTAATGCTATGTTCAATTACAATTTGCCACACTTCTCCCCACGTTTTAACTGTGATCACCCTTGAACACCACAACAACCCAGGTTCTAACTCCTTGTCACCACATGCAGGGCAACAGACACCATTTGTAACAGAAAGAGACTCACTCAGTCATAACTTGAAAGGGACCAGTTGGTCTTGAAATGTTGCGACTGGTTTGATACTTATGTTGTTTGCGTATACAGTAAAACTCTGATATAAGAAAGAAGTATATTTCCACCAGAGATGGAACCAGTGCTCCCCCCAGCTTCCCAGTCCACAGCTTTACTGATTTGGAGAGGGAAATCCCCTCTAGTGCAAAGCTAAACGACAATCATAATCATATGTCCAACTAAAATTTGCCACACAGTTATAGTACCAATAACCTGTCTTAACCAATCCCTGTCCAATATAAATTATAGCATGTCTGCACTGTCTAATCTAGACCTTGTCTACATGTATAGAAACTAGTTTTGTTTAACAGATCTTGTCTAAAATGGAAATTTTTGTCCATTCTGACCTCTTCATTTTCCTCTTTTCCTCTTAAAAAAAGTATTACACTGTCTTCTTTCATGAAAAGTAAATTTATCGACTACAGCCAATGGCGACCTTATCCCTGGGTCCTTTAATTCCCTGTCATTATGCATCTCACAGGAGTCTGAGAGGATGCTGAACAGACTTGTTTTGAATGACAATTTGTAGCAATGTTGTAAAAAACATGATACATCACAACTGTCTACAGAAGCCAACCTGACCATTACCTCAGTGTACCATAGTTGCAAACACGTGACTGTGCTCTGAAGACGGCCTCCATTTGGCCGAAACATGTCAGCACTTAGGATGTAAATCAAACATTACATTTTGTACCGGATTCACTGGTGTTGTTGCTCATCATTTATATTTTCATAATTGGGGGATAGTACGTTGTTTTGAGTGCACGTGGCTATACAAAGAGTTTAAACCAAATTTCATGTTCTAATCGCCAGTATAGACACGAAAAACAAAGTATTACCCCCATTCTAACACACCTTAATAATACACTACACTAATATGTTTAGAAACATTGTATTTACTTGCTACAATTGTATGTAGTAAAGTACTCTTTGACCAGTGCTGGTGACGTGTCATCCTGCACCGGACAGACCAATCAAAAAGAAGCTTTAAAAAGTTGTTCATTTGGGCCCCGCCCATACTGGGGAGCGCTCGATCCGTTATGTTGACAAAGCGGAATATTTGGATTGTTCATGAACGTCCTGTTACCAAAGTGTATACAACTTTGACTACATTCTTACATTTCAATGTCAGTATGCATGCCAGTCTGTGCGTATCGACAAAATCGGTGATTATTTGTTTAGATCTGTCAAGAGTTTTGTGCAAAATTCATGCGACACATTTGAAATGTTTCATTAGATTTCGGATCTAACTAGATGCCTATACACGGATGTAACGAATGTTTCAGTATTAAATGGAGGTAAGAACAAGGAATGTTCTCTTTATTTTTAATTTATTCAACAAACTACATTTAATCAGTCCTTTCTGTTCTGTTGCCTGATAGCCTTATCAGAAGGATTTCGCTTAGAGGCGAGCATGACGCCATATTGTTTTGATTAGAAACAGGGCGTGGCTTAAATGCGATGGGTGGAGCTTAACTCGATTGATTATGATTCTATCGCAGATTAGAACACGGTCCATATCCAATCAAAACATGTGTTTGAAATGATTCGTGTTAGAATATAAATTGAAAATTTCAACTTCTTGATCAACACACATGTCATTTCAATATTACTTTGAAAAATCACATAGGCATTGTTGTGGAGCCATTGTTGTGGAGCCATTGTCTGGTGCCTTAATTACTGGGTACTAGACCTCTTGTTCCCTAGGGATTGTACATCACAGTATTGAATTGTATAATAGAACATGTAAGTCAGTTTGTTTCTGTGGATGGAGATGGCTACGTGCCCTGTATATAGGCAATCAAATATCCCTGTCTTAAAGGTACTTACAGCAGTATGTACTTATAGAAAATGGCCACTCTAAACTGGAGACAGAAAGACCAAAAAATGTCATTTGAACAAGTTTTGAAATTTGGTCATGTTTTCAGTGACCAAACAGACTTGTGTTTACTGATTGTGCTAACACTAAAATGTCTATAGATGGAATGAATTGTTTAGTAACCCTCAAACATACATTTGTTAAAATCTGAATATAAATACAATGATGTATTTTATAACTAGGGAACAGATTTCTGCTAATATTGTCAAAAACTCCTAAAATTGAAACTCAGGGTTTTTAGCTGTTACCCTTGAGAGTACGTTATTTGACTCTCCAAAATGAGCTTTGAAAGGTTTTGACCCTTCAAGTTCCATGGAAACAGTGATTTGACTTTTGAAATTGCTTATTGTCAAGGTTCATTTAGAAGCCATGAAAACTTTATAATTAGAAAATTATCAAGTTTGGAGTTGTCAATTATAGTTAAAAAAAAATACAATTTTAGGAGTGGTCCGGTTACACATTTTGGAGAAATCATGTTTTATCAGGTTTCAATAATTTGGAGAGAATTATAAAAATTGGAATGGCCAGTTTATATTAGGAGAAAATTATAATATAAGGATAGGTTCGGTGAAAGCGCAATTAGAAATAATGTTATATTAGGGTTTTTATTGCTGGACAGATAAGACCTGGTGTGAATAAATGTGCGTGCATTTGTATTAATGTAAATACATAAATTTTAAAAGGTTCTTTATGTGGGCTCCCTGAGGGATGTGGTGATAACCATCCCCAGATCAAAAGTAAATAAAAAAAACACAAAATTAAATCGGACTATGTTTCATTTTTGGCACTCTTCAAATTTTTAAGTTGCTTGGACAGGGACAGAGCCTCTTATATAGTTCTTATAAACTCAAGCATCTGTTTTCTGACAGGAATAGAGCCTCTAATATAGTTCTTATAAACCCAGGCCCCTGTTTTTCTACAGGAACAGAGCCTCATATGTAGTTCTTATAAACTCAAGCCCCTGTTTTCTGACAGGGACCGAGCCTCTTACAATCCCAGGCCTCTATATATATAGCTAACTAGCTGTCATTGTTACCTCCTGTATAGGTCTTACCTACAGAATCCCTGCTCTAAGGGGGTTGAGAGCTTCACATATATAAAGGGGGAGGGGGTTGAGAGCTTCATATATATAAAGGGAGAGGGGGTGGCTTGATCCACTTATATCGTACAGGTCTAACAGACCCACTTCTCCTGCTGTCCTGTATTCCTGTAGTGGGTCACAAAACATTTAATTGGTAGTGGACTGTTGAAAAGGCTTGATAATACTCTTTTTCTCAACTCATATCAAAGTTGGTAACAAGTAAACCAGATGATCACTTAGCTGTCAATGACCTCATTCAGTTGTGACATTAATAATTAGAATACAGACTTTATGGGGTATATATCCTACTGTACAAATTGTAGCCTCAGCTCACAGACCATCAGCTTGTGATTTTGTGATACGGTTATAACTTGACAATTTTTGCAGTCCAGTGTTAGCTATATCTTGTACAGCTTCAACAAAAAATATTTTTATACAGTGCCACAATTTTGTCCTGAAAATTTTAAGAACATGATCATGATTGCTTGGTGCATATATGGTATATATGGTACATATATCATGTTCTGAATAGATTTTGATAGTTTTCTGTATTTGTCAATTTAGTTGTGAATTGCTAACAAAATCTATTTTTATGTGTTTCATAAGTATATTTAGCAGAGAATTTTTCCAGATTTTTCGAACATTTTTGAGAGGAAAGTTCACTATTCCATGTTTGATTAAAATTAGACATTATTGAAACTGTAATGATTTGACTGAATTTTGTATGTAAACATATTTAAAGACATTAATTATATAGGATTAAAGTTGTTCATTGTGAATGATATGCAAGATATCAATATAATTCATTCTGAGAGAATCTTGGAAGGAACTTTTCTCCACATCAAGTACTATATGTATTACACTGCTGTGTACATGGCTAGTTCAATACACACACTGGCCTCACTCATACATATATTCATGGCTGGGAGTTGCTGAGTTGTGACATTCGATCAACGGTGAAGAGTTACGATTGTATATGTGAAACACTGGTATTTGCCGTTGTACCTAAGGTTATATCTGATTTTGAAGCCTCCTGTCTAATCGTGAAAACCTCCTGGATTTGTTGTAAAACCAAGCTACATTCATCAAACCTTTTTTTAGCTGTACACACTGTATGCATATGTATACATGTATAGAGCTCTTGTGCAAATGGCATTGATCTGTGACGGATACTGGTACTACAAATCAATATGAAAGTACATGTAGTTGTTTTTTTTGGTCATATTGATATGCCTGTGGTTTTTATAGGGAACTTGAACATGATAACATGTTGATGAATAAGCATTTATGATATGATGCTTCCATTATCATATTACAGTGACAAGGACGGGTGTAAAGTGTGGGACTCAGGAACAGGGATGTTTGTTCGGACATATAAGTCACAACCTTCATGTCGAGTGTGTATTATAGCCATATAGGTTGATGTTCAGTAGTACAAGTAGCTAAACCATGGGAAAGCCAATTAAGTTAAGTGGTCTTGAGGCCAAATTCAACAAGTTGCGGAAATATAAACTGAAGTTTCAAGCAAGCTCGTCAGGAAAAGAAAGTTATAGCCAAGAACAAAGAAATGATTCAAAACAGACTTTTGGGATGTCATCATCCAAATCAGTGGACAAATTAAACCGAAACTGTAACTTGGACAATGTTGACAACAGGAAGAGCCTCAATGTAGACGAACTGAGTATGAGTCAAAATCGGAAAGGTGAAAAACAGGATATTAAATGTTCATCAATTCCACGCAGTAAGTCATGTGTGATGATAAAAGATTGTCGTTATGTAGAAAGCGGAAAAAGGAAGGAGGGACACGTGACAGAGAAAAAGTGTAGAGATATAAGGTAATATCATACCAATTTGTTTACCAATCTGTAACAGTTGGACTTGAATGTGAATTTTGTACGTAGTAATTGACGAGTTGCAATCTTTGAACATTGTATTATATACTGTACATGTCATATTATAAGACTCTTTCATGCCCAGGGGTGTAGGATAGGGAAATTCCACTTGAGTTTTTTTTTAAATTTGGTAAAACCAGAGGCTTTGTAAAGGGTTTTGCCAAATTTGAAAATCCCGAGGGTGGAATGTCCCTATCCTACACCCTTGGGCATGAAAGAGTATTTTTCTCTCATTCCAACCAGAATAAGCCCAGAAACCATGAAAAGGTGTTTGGACTGGCCACCATTTTGAAGATATCAATTTTTCCCCCGAGCATTTTAGACGAAAACGAATCAGCCAGCCAGATTGAGCATATCAAATATTTGCAAACAATGTTTGCGCTGAAATAATAATCACATCTTTCTAAAGTGTATGGTAAATATAAAGTAAAAGGTTTTAATTTCATCACATCGCCTTTTCTGCATTGCGGCATCGTAGAGTTCCAAATTTGTGACGTCACATCATTGTTGAGCAATTGTGATGTCACGTCACGTGAAATAGGTTGTAAGATGGAAATTTCCTACACCCCTTTCTTACCCTGGACAGCTCTATCTTACACACAGGGAAATAGGGAAAAAGATATATCTAATGACTTTAAAACTGTTTGAATAGTTTAATTGGTATGTGAATCAGATGAAGGAAATATATGTATATGTCATTTCATTAGTATTTTTAGCTCACCTGGCTCGAAGGGCCAAGTGAGCTTATGCCTTGGTGCAGCGTCCGTCGTCCGTCCGTCGTTTGCCGTCGTCCAGCGTCAATATTTTACTTTAAACAACTCCTTCTCAATAACCAAGAGGCCTAGGGTGATGATATTTGGCCAGAACCAAACTAGGATGAAGGGCTACCACATTTGTTCAAATAAATGACCTTCACCTATTTTCAAAGTCACAGGGGTCAAATATGTTAAAAACTTGAAACAACTTCTTCTGAATAACCAAAATGCCCAGAGTGATGATAATTGGCCAGAAGCATGCTGGGATGAAGGGCTACCAAGTTTGTTCAAATGAATGACCTTGACAAATATTCAAGGTCACAGGGGTCAATTGTCTTAAAAAATCTTTAAACAACTTCTTCTGAATAACTAAGAGGCCTAGGATAATGATATTTGGCCATTAACATGCTAGGATAAAGGACTACCAAGTTTGTTAAAATGAATGACCTTGACAAATATTCAAGGTCACAGGGGTCAAATATGTTCAAAACATTTAAACAACTTCTTCTGAATAACCAAGAGGCATAGGGTGCTTACATTTGGCCAGTAACATGCTGGGATGAAAGACTAGCAAGTTTGTTCAAATACATGACCTTGAATTATATTCAAGATCACAGGGGTCAAATATGTACAAAACATTTAAACAGCTTATTCTGAATACCCAAGAGGCCTAGGGTGATGCTAGTTAGCCAGTAACATTCCTGGATGAAGGGCTTCCAAGTTTGTTCAAATAAATGACCTTGACTTATATTCAATGTCACAGGGGTCAAATATGTTAAAATCTTTAAACAAGTTCTACTGAATATCCAAAAGGCCTAGGGTGATGATATTTGGCCAGTAACATGCTGGGATAAAGGGCTTTCAAGTTTGTTCAAATGAATGACCTTGACTTATATTCAAGGTCACAGGGGTCAACTATTTTTAAAACCTTTGAATGACTTCTTAATAAGCAATAGGCCAAGGGTAATGATCTTTGGCTATTAACATGCTGGTATGAAGGGCTACCCAGTTTGTTCAAATGAATGACCTTCGCCCATACTCAAGGTTACAGTTGTCAATATATGTTTAAATCTTTAAATGATTTGTTCTGTATAGCCAAAAGGTCTAGGGTAATGATATTTTGCAAAAAGCATGCTGGGTTTGAAGACTATAAACTCTGTTCAACCTAATGTCCTTGTTCGACATTCAAGGTCACAGGCGTCATATGTTTAAATCTTTTAATAAGTTTTTATGAATCAAACACTGATATTCTGCCTGTAGTTGTATTTTAGTCCACTTTTAAGATTACAAGTGTGAGATTAAAACCAGGTGAGCGATACAGGCCCATTGGGCTTCTTGTATTCAAGGTCACAGGGGTCAATTATCTTAAAAAACCTTTAAACAACTTCTCCTGAATAACCAAAATGCCCAGGGTGATGATATTTGGCCAGTAGCATGCTGAGATGAAGGGCTACAAAGTTTGGTCAAATGAATGACCTTCACCCCTATTCAAGGTCACAGGGGTCAAATACGTTAAAAACTTTAAACAACTTCTTCTCAATAACCCAAATGCCCAGGGTGATGATATGTGGCCAGTATCATGCTGGGGTAAAGGGCTATCAAGTTTGTTCAATTGAATGACCTTCACTTATATTCAAGGTCACAGGGGTCAAATTTGTTTAAAATCTTTAAACAACCTCTTCTGAATAACCATGGGTCCCAGGATGTTGATACTTTTGCAAGTTGCATCCTGAGATGAAAGGCTATAAAATTTGTTCAACATAATGACTTTGTTCGACTTTCAATCGCAGGGGTGAAATGTTTTAAAAAATATTAACAGGTTCTTTTGAATGAATTCTAATCATAAATACTGATATTTTGCCTGTACCTTTATTTTAGATCACTTTTAAGGTTACAAGTGTGAGATTTATACCAGGTGAGCGATGCAGGCCCATTGGGCCTCTTTATAATCATAATTTACATACAGAATGTCTACATGTTATATTTCATTTGTAATTTTCATTTAGTTGGTGTGCTAGATGTTTAAAACTAACAAAAAGTACATATTCCTTAATGTACACATCATTAATTTAACAGTAAGATCAAACTTTATATTAATACCTTAAGTTTTAGTTGATAGTTGATTTTTCTGGTTGTATATCTAAAGAAGTATAGACATGCTTCAGGGACAATCATTACAGCAAATATATAGTCAATCTTAACAAAATATCTGAAGTATTTTAAGATTCTATAAACAAAAAAGTTTTTGCTAAACTTATCTCAGAAATAGGTTTTCAATTTTTTGTCTATTAGATATGTTTTTATTCCTAAACTTAAATCTCACCCATACAAGTATCAATAATGTGCATGTGAATCACAGTACAGCTTTTTTACATAGGCGATATCCATCCATTTTGTAATGTCTTATCAGGGATAATGGAGAGATTTTAAATTTGAATTTAATTTGATAAGTTTAAAATCAACTTTGCACGCATTATATAATGAATGTTAGATATTTGGGTAAAACTAATACAAATATTTTGAGGACACTTCTAAAGATTTATATCTTGCTGAATAAGTATTGATGAGATATACACATTTTCTTGTAAAGATGTCTTTGTATAGTGTATTTGTTCAAAGATTGATAAAATGTTTGAGATTGCAAGTCGGTTCAAGTTAATGTTATACTGCTATAAACTATAACCAGATAAAGTGTAATACATTGTATATAATTATCCAAGTTAATGTAATCCCGCTATAAACTATAGTCAGATAAAGTGTAATACATTGTATATGATTATACAAGTTAATGTTAAACCGCTATAAACCATAACCAGATGGAGTGTAATACATTGTATATAATTATACTCAGCTACAGGGGATGTAATTATACACAGCTACAGGGGATGTAATTATACACAGCTACAGGGGATTTGTATAGTGTATTTGTTCAAAGATTGATAAAATGTTTGAGATTGCAAGTCGGTTCAAGTTGATGTTATACTGCTATAAACTATAACCAGATAGAGTGTAATACATTGTATATAATTATCCAAGTTAATGTAATCCCGCTATAAACTATAGTCAGATAAAGTGTAATACATTGTATATGATTATACAAGTTAATGTTAAACCGCTATAAACCATAACCAGATGGAGTGTAATACATTGTATATAATTATCCAAGTTAATGTAATCCCGCTATAAACTATAGTCAGATAAAGTGTAATACATTGTATATAATTATGCAAGTTAATGTTATACCGCTATAAACTATAACCAGATAAAGTGCAATACATTGTATATAATTATACACAGCTACAGGGGATTTGTATAGTGTATTTGTTCAAAGATTGATAAAATGTTTGAGATTGCAAGTCGGTTCAAGTTGATGTTATACTGCTATAAACTATAACCAGATAGAGTGTAATACATTGTATATAATTATGCAAGTTAATGTTATACCGCTATAAACTATATCCAGATAACGTGTAATACATTGTATATAATTATGCAAGTTAATGTTATACCGCTATAAACTATATCCAGATAAAGGGTAATACATTGTATATAATTATACATGTTAATGTTATACCGCTATAAACCATAACCAGATGGAGTGTAATACATTGTATATAATTATACACAGCTACAGGGGGTGTAATTATACACAGCTACAGGGGATTTGTATAGTGTATTTGTTCAAAGATTGATAAAATGTTTGAGATTGCAAGTCGGTTCAAGTTAATGTTATACGGCTATAAACTATAACCAGATAAAGTTTAATACATTGTATATAATTATACTCAGCTACAGGGGATGTAATTATACACAGCTACAGGGGATTTGTATAGTGTATTTGTTCAAAGATTGATAAAATGTTTGAGATTGCAAGTCGGTTCAAGTTAATGTTATACGGCTATAAACTATAACCAGATAAAGTGCAATACATTGTATATAATTATACAAGTTAACGTAATACCGCTATAAACTATATCCAGATAAAGTGTAATACATTGTATATAATTATACACAGCTACAGGGGATGTAATTATACACAGCTACAGGGGATATATCAATAGATACGGTATAGGTTTTTGGACCTGTGACCTGTGTACAGAACTGCCCTGTGTTATCTGTACATGTATGTGTTGCACTGTGTTATCTGTATATATGTTCAATTGTTTTTAACAATCCAGAATAATATACACTGTAAGTCAGTACAGGAAACAGGTATGTAACAGTTAGCTACTGTAAAACATCCAATTTTTGGGAATACTGTTTTTTTCAATTGAAATATTTGAACTATTTCACATATTCCCAAGATATTTTATGCGTTTACTGCCCTTGTTGTAGTGAGGGAATCATGATTATTTGTTATGCACCTGCCATAAAATGGGGGGAGGGAGGGGGGCATAAAGTGTTGCCCATGTCCGTCCCGTCCCATCCATGAGCGGGGGCATTAATGTCTTACAGACATTTTCTAGTTTAAATGATTTCAATCATGATCCAAGAGGACAAAGCCCAAGTTAAACATGATTTATCGAGAAGAAACAAAGAATCATATTTCCCTACTACAAGGGCAATAAGGTGATCAAGTTGATGCACCATTGATATTGGTGTCGTCTGCTTCAGCCATTCGGAATTTGATTGTAATGACTCTTGCCTATTTTTCTAGAGAGGCTCTGAATAAGGGAAATATGATTGGGGAAACTCAAGCACATGAGGGCAACATAATGTTTTAAGACATGTCCACCTCTCCTTGGGAATTTAACAAAAAGTTAGTTGTCTTATGAACTGTGTTTAAAGTGATTTGCAGTATTTGACTGAGTTACATACATTGGTTGGTTGGTTGAGTGTTTTTTTAACGTCTGCCTTTCACCCGACGCGAGGGAGTAAGTTGCCTCTTACCAGACCCTCTTTAGATTTCAAAAGTCAAAGGGCTGTCCAGGGCCCCTCCACAAGTTGGACAGCTCTTCAGATGCGGATTGTCTGTCACAGCAGCTGAGGTCCACAGATCCATGTCTACGCGTGGTCCCCGTTGCCCTCCTATCGAGTCACATACAACTGATGTATACATTTTGTAGTACAGCTGGCATGACAAACTCAGTGCCACCAGCACTTGTAGTAGACAGCCTGTTGTGTGCAGTTTCAAATTGCTGCTGCAATGAATCTCAATATTAAGATATATTTAAAGTATGGAATTGTTTTCATGACGTATTTTCTTGTTTCAGTATAAATGATAATGATTTTCGTTGGTTTATGTCTGTACAATGGAGTAGCTTTCAGCTGTCACGCTATAAATGTTCAGTAAAAAAAGGTTTCCTTTTGATTGATAAAGCCCATAGACTACTAGAAGCTTCAAAATGATGCTGATCACATTGTGTTTCTAGCCCTATGCACATAATTTCTTCTGGCAATGCTTATGAAGGAACTTACAATGGAAATGTTAATATATGAAAATATATGGCACTTTATATGTCCAATCAGCAGCAAGCAGTCACCATTGAAAAGTTCTCCTACATGTTATATAGTGCTAAATCAATTATACCTGGTATGTGTATTATTGTACAATGCAGTTTAAAAATTATTATTCATAAACGTCAGTGTGAGTTCCTTAATGAAAGTACAATGTAAGCACATTTATAATACATGAAAAGTTCTACTTTTCCAATCTGTTGTTTCTACAAAAAATGGATCTATGAAATTAATTTATTGCTATTTCTGAGAACTAGTTAAGGAGTTACATTAGATGCAACAGTCTAAAACAATCATAAAATTTTCACAATTCTGACCTTATTGTATCCCACATATCTCAGGAAAATGCAGACATATCCTTTTACAAATTGCATTGAAAAAACACTACTAATAGTAATAATAATGTATAGTGAAAATTATATTTGGACAGATGCTTTTGTTTGGAAGTAGGTGATTGATTTCAAATAGACTGTTAAGAAGTTTTCCTGGAATGATACAGTGAGTTGGGCAGCAATTTCAAGAGGTCCTCCGGGGATCCACATCAGCTCGGGACATTAAGTTTTAACCGTTTCCTAATAGTAATGAAGTATAGCTGTAATATAACTATAATTGTGTTTTATATAACTGGTATTTTAACTGTAATTGTCTTCAATAAGATTTATCAGTTTTGAAATATGTAAAATCAAAGTTACAGCATTTTCACTTTGTTAATTGACCAGTCAGGGTAGCCACAACATTTGAGTGCGTCTTCTATGTGCTGTTCTTCCTTGTGTCTATCGTCTTTCTCTGTGATGATGTTGTTGCATCTGTCAAGGAAAAATGTGCAATTTCGTCACATTGTTGTACAGGTAAAAAATACAAATCGCTCACATGGAAAAAGATTGTTGAAATTTCAGCCAATTTATCCTCTTTAGCCCCTCCCTTCAGACCCTAGGGTACCTTCGTCCATTTTCAAGGTCACAGGGGTCAAATATGTTTAAAACCTTTAAATAACTTCTTCTGAATAGCTAAAAAGCCTAGAATAATGATATTTGGCCAGTTACATGCCAGGATAAAGGGCTACCAAGTTTGTTCAAATGAATGACCTTTACTTATTTTCAAGGTCACAGGGGTAAAATATGTTTAAAACCTTTTAACAACTTCTTCTAAATAACCGAAAGTCTTAGGATGATGATATTTGGCCAGTAGCATGCTTGGATAAAGGGCAACCAAGTTTATTCAAATGAATGACCTTTACATATATTCAAGGTCACAGGGGCCGATGATATTTGGTCATTAACAGGCTGGGATGAAGGGCTACCAATTTTGTCAAAATGAATGACCTTCGCCCATATTCAAGGTCACAGTGGTCAATATATGTTTAAATCTTTAAATGACTTGTTCTGTATAACCAATAGATCCAGGGTTATGATATTTTGCCAAAAGCATGCTTGGTTGGAAGACTTTAAACTCTGTTCAACCTAATGTCCTTTTTCTACATTCAAGGTCACAGGCGTCATATGTTTAAATCTTTTAATAGGCTCTTATGAGTCAAACACTGATATTCTTCCTGTAGCTGNCTAAGGTAAAACTTTGATATTAACTACGATTGTGTTTTATATGACTGCTATCTTTTTCTTCAGTGTTGCTGCCAATGTCCAGTCAGACAGGATGAGTGAGGAAGACGGTCAGGAATGGCTGTACGACTTACTGACCGAGGTCCAGCTAGAGCAGTTCTACACCAAACTAAGGGATGACCTCCAAGTCACCAGGTACCTCTTAACATTCACTTTTTACTTAATAGACCTCTATATGTTTATAACAATTTGCATACATTTGTCGCCACTCCATGATCATATGCACTGTATACCATTGCTGGGCAAACAAAGTCATGTAATCAGGATTGGCCCTCAGAGCCCGGCACTGTCCTCTGGGGTCTAGCACTGTCCTCTGAGGTCTAGCACTGTCCACAGGGGTCTAGCACTGTCCTCTGGGGTCTAGCACTGTCATCTGGGGTCTAGCACTGCCCTCTGGGGTCTAGCACTGTCCTCTGGGGTGTAGCACTGTCCTCTGGGGTGTAGCACTGCCCTCTGGGGTCTAGCACTGTCCACTGGGGTCTAGCACTGTCTTCTGGGGTCTAGCACTGTCCTCTGGGGTCTAGCACTGCCCTCTGGGGTCTAGCACTGTCCTCTGGGGTCTAGCACTGCCCTCTGGGGTCTAGCACTGTCATCTGAGGTCTAGCACTGTCCTCTGGGGTCTAGCACTGTCCTCTGGGGTCTAGCACTGTCCTTTGGGACTTAAATTAGTCCCAGAGTCATATTATGGTACAGTTGTGTGACCACACAATGCATAAAAAAAAACGTGTGCACACAGTTCACACACCGTCTGCACATCGTCCACAAATGGTGCGCACAACTATGCGATTTAACAATTGTTTGCCTCGTTGTGCGCTTTTCTCCGCACAACTGCGATTTGGTACAATTTGTTAATCAATATTACGGAATGAAAAAAATACGAAAGGCTCGTATGCAATAATGTACACTGTATATATTATTGTAATTTCTTATTATAATAAATACGATTATGTACAATTTTACAATGCGTGTTACACAGTGTTACAGTGACCGTTAGACTGTCAATAATGGGTTTAGATCCTAGGTAACAGGACAGGTAAATAACAATTTGATGAGTGACCAGAGGTTTACCTGGCCTGTGCCTGACACGTTTTTTTTGCATTTGTTTTGGTCTATAGCTCCCCTTCACCTGGTTTTCACACCTTGGCGAGTTACGTAAGTTCCCCGGGCTGGGGATAACTACGGTCCAGGTACAGGTACAGAGTGGCTTTGTTTACCTGTATTGCCGAGACTGTGTTGTAAATTTACATGTGTCGATTTAGGTTGTTTAAAAAACACCAAAAACACAATTTCTAAATTTAAGAAAGTATAGACAGAAAAATAAGTTTAAAGATGTAGATAGAATATAGAGACTTACTAAATAATCAAGTTTATGTGTTTAAACACATGCACAAAACCGTTTATATTATTAAGGCATTCCTCAATTTACACCAACCACGATTGTTATCGCACAACGTTTGCCCATCGTCCGCACAAATGTGCCCAAGCAATGATCGTCCAATTTGTTATCGTTCACACACCGTGCACACATCGTGCGCACACCGCACATCGTGTAACGTTGTTCGATCCCACAACTGTCTTGACTCACTAACTGATATTCCCTCCCTATAACCAACCGGATTTGCCAGCCACTGTTTTTAACAATTTGGTCATATACAGTAAGTTGAAATATAAAGGGATAAACACATGCCTGCTACCAGGGTTTGCCTGCCCTTGGGTACGTAGTCCCAGGGTCATAATTACATTTTATTTATCCCAACCCTATATCCATACACACATTAAGAGGGATCCAAACCAAATTTTTAAAGAAGAATGTTTGGTCCTTGGGACCTTGGAATAAATTATTGTGTAAAGGAAGATTATCATAATCTCCCCTTGTGACTAGTAAAGACAAAAGATATTACTTGGGCTTTTAAGTATGTATAAGCCAGGCAAATAGCTGCCTGTTTGCTAGTATGCAGGTGGATCCACCACACGAACAGAAAGACAAAATAAAAACAATGTTTGTTGAACCCCCTTGTCTCCCTACCAAGGCCCTGCCCTTGGCTTGCTCTGAAACGAATCAACTCCGAATAAGGGCTAGCTATAGCTACGCCCCTGTAAACCTACTCCTCATATTTCTTCTGCTTAGAAGCATCTTTGCTGCAATTGGGACCACAGATTCCAATCTTATGTAAAGGAATAGTGTTTCTTGTCCTTTTTTGGCGCTGAGAGGGTAAACTTAAAGCAGGGGGATCTGTTGACAGTTCTGTATGGCTTTTAATGAGAATGTTTTGTAATGATTGCTTAAATCTGGGAGTGAGTGTTAAAGTTAAGGGATCGAGGCTCTTGTCCAATTTACGAAAATATGTCATGATTTTGAAAAATATAGCTGAACTTGTTGCGGGTAAAAGTCCAGCAATTACTATGTTTACGTGTGCTGCTGTTGTTGTTTGCACGCACATATTTTTTATACCAGAAATGATCAAAATATCGTGTCCTGCATCGATGTAAATGTTTTATGATGTAATTAAAATCTTTTGAGGAAATACATGATCTGGTTTTATGGCAGAGTGCCTTCCGGACTATAACAGTACATGTACAGACAACAAGAATATCAGTATCACGTAGATGTTTGTAAGTTACACATTATTTTTTCATATCCTCCAATAAAACCTCTTTGATTGATTACTGTGAGGCGTTCTTATTGATCTCACGATATATAAATATTGCCTGCAATGTCTGGTGGACCGTTTTATACGGAGCTTACATCATCATTCATTCACATATTTATGTCGTTTTATATATAGATAAATAATACTGACCCCCTGTGGTGGGTGATACAAAGCCAACAAAGAGGCTGTACTTTTATGTATTATATAATCAATATGTCTGCAAATTATCAGCTACATCGTTCATTAGATGATTCATATACAACTTCCCTTTATTTCATTTTCTTTCTAAATGTTGAATTAATTAAAAATGAGCTACTGACACCTTTTAGCTTTATCATGCATTTTATGTTTATTTAAAGCCTGAAGATTTGAGACAGTAAAAAAAAAAAAACTCGGCCAATGGTCATTTTTGTTGTTTATTTTCTTTTTAAAGACTGACGTATCCTCGTACCATTACTAAAACTGTAACTATACATTAGAAACATTTTTTTTTCTTTCATGACTAAAGCTTAGATAAAAAGATATGAATAGAAAACTATACCTTGCATTACTTTCATGAAAAAATAATAGAGATTTGATAAACAAAATGTAATCATTGAGCGCCAGAGCAGGATTTAACCCTAGACTTCAGATTGTTCTACATAATTAATCGCTTTAACAAACTGAGCTACCTAGTCAACGGAAGTGTACAGGTCCAATTGTGTGCTACAGTTTTCTTCTATATAAACAACACGAATACAAAACTGTATTTCCCAGCGACATAGGCACTGACCTATGTTTATTTACAATCACCATGATTAATAAACACAATTACACAATAATGTACAACTCCTAACCTATTTATCTCAATATAATAAACACCCTTTATTTTTTTTGTATACCTGTGCTTCCTGTTACCTGTGTCGCCTGAATGACATGTATAGGTAACAACCCTGCCCATTCGCACATGCAAATACCACCAATAGCGCCACCTATTGGTATATCTCATACCAAAGAGAAAATAATAACATCCTAATTCCTACCGTCAACCGGTTGAAACATGTACATGTATATAAGAACAAAATCCACCGTTCAGTGCGACAGGGATCTTTGAGTAGCATTTAAGTCTGTTGGCTGTGATTTCTAGATCCATCAATAAATGAATCAATGATTGATCATAAATCAATTAAAGATCGCTGGCTGTCTTTAATGAAGGGAGACATATTGTATTAGTACTGGTTCTTCTTCTTCTTCCTCTTCTAGTCGCAACTTGTCCAGGCCATGACTTTTAAACCGTCAAAGATATCTTGATGAAACTTAAGGTATGCATGCATCACCTACAGAAGGTCTGCAGTGCACTGGGATTAGGTCACACTGACCTTCACCTCAAGGTCAAAGGTCAAATAAGTGCAACATTTTCAGTAAAAATTCTTGTCCGGCCTGTAAATTTTAAACCATTTAAGATATCTTAATCAAACTTAAAGCATACCTGCATCACCCACAGAAGGTGTGCAGTGCACTAGAATTAGGTCTCCAGCTTCACTATATACAGAGTTATGACCATTTGTTTAATTTTAATACTGAAGTTTTGTCCGGAGTATAAGTTCCATGTTATTTCACCTACGCTGACCAAACTTACCATATTTATGTATCTTGGGAAGGCGGAAGCTCTCGCACTAAAATCTGGTTTTATGACCCACTATATACAGAGTTATCGCCCTTTGTTTATTTTAGTACCGAAGTATGTCCACAGCATAACTTCTAAACCATTAAAGATATCTTAATCAAACTTAAAATATACCTGCATCACCCACATAAGGTGTGCAGTGCACTGGAACTAGGTCTCGTGCCCCACTATATGCAGAGGAATGGCCCTTTGTTTATTTTTAATACCGAAGTTTATCACCTACGTTGACCAAATTTGCCATAGTTTTCATGTATCTTGTGAAGTAGGAGTGTCACATTCTAAATTCGAGTCTCGTGCCCCACTATATAAAGAGATATGGCACTTTTTATACCGAAGTTTGTCTATTGGCTAATAAGGGGAGACATATGTTTTTGTTCACAAAAACAAAATTCTAGTTGTTATTTAAAACAAACACTGTCAATGGACTTATTTTAGCACACCCAAGAGGTATGGTGTGTAAGGTACGCTAAGGTATGCTAAGGTACGCTAAGGTATGCTAAGGTACGCTAAGGTATGCTTAGGTATGCTAAGGTATGCTAAGGTACGCTAAGATATGCTAAGGTATGCTAAGGTACGCTAAGGTATGCTAAGGTACGCTAAGGTATGCTAAGGTATGCTAAGGTATGATAAGATACGCTATGGGATGCTAAGGTACACTAAGGTATGCTAAGGTACGCTAAGATATGCTAAGGTATGCTAAGGTACACTAAGGTATGCTAAGGTATGCTAAGGTACGCTAAGATACGCTAAGGTATTCTAAGGTATGCTAAGGTATGCTAGGCACCTATATCAGTTTGCCACTTTAACTGTTGGTCAAA